ACGTCACTGTTGTGCCACGAGCAAGCTCTTAATTCGGTCTGCGTGACAGCGCATCAGCCAAAGCATTCTGCTTTCCTGGCTAATGCTTCACCTCGAAGTTATACTCTGCAAAGAACGAGAGCCAGCTGGCCATCTACTGCGAGGGGTGAAGCGACTGAGTCGCAGTGCGTAGTGTTGCAAAATCCATGTAGATCACAAACGAATTGGAGCCGAGCAGGGGTATCCCGAACTTGATTAGGGCATACTTCATCGCAAGTAACTCTTTGTCTTGGACTAAGTAGTTCTTCTCCGCAGCCTTAAGCTGGCGAGTATCAGCGCGATCGGGTGATCGCGTTACCCGATCCCGCCTTTCGGTGTCTGGTTGTAGTATTTCACAGCCGATCGCAAAGTCCGAAGCGTCACATACGACATTTATAGGACGATCGGGGTCTGGCAACACCAGTATTGATGCACGAAAGAGGCTGTCGTTGAACCTGTCAAAAGGCTCCCGATGCTCGGTGTCCGAACACCCTTCCATTTCCTTCTTTCTGGTTGTAGTATTGCACAGCCGATCGCAAAGTCCGAAGCGTCACATACGACATTTAAAGGACGATCGGGGTCTGGCAACAGCAGTATTGGTTCACGAAGGAGGCTGTCTTTGAACCTGTCAAAAGGCTCCCGATGCTCAGTGTCCGAACACCCTTCCATATCCTTCTTAAGGAAATTAGACAATTGCTGTACCATTTTTGCATAATTTGCGCTAGACTTGTGCAAGGAGTTGACGAGGCCAAGCCACTTGCGCAGGTCCTTTATGTTTTTTCGGAACTGACCAGTCTGCAACCGCATTGACCTTAGCGGGATCCGCTCGATGGCCACGCTTCCCAAGAAAGCATCTTGAAAAACATTCTTCAGCATCAAAGATGCTTTTGTCTGCAAGCTGATTTGTGCGCATGCAGTCGAGCACCGCTCTGATATGGACGATGAGGTTCTCTTCATCCGTCCTCTCGTGCTCCGCACGACTGTGGACAAAGATATCGTCGGACAGCTTCATCCAGTAGCGACGACGGGTTGATCTCCTCTTCCGTATAATTACCACTTCAGCTAAGTCGCCTGCCTTCAAGCGCCGCCAAACTGTTCAGAAGACATCTTGTCCAGCTCAAGAGCATCCACATAGGGAATAGCCTTAAGGGTGACGTTGCCGTCTTCTTTTCCCATCATACCGCTGACAATGGTGTATAGCTGTGCGCTATTGTCTACGGTAGGCATACCCTGGGTCAGGGTCGACGCCCTGCATCTTGCAGATAACAAATTGCACCGTCGTCTTCTCGCTATAGAGGTTTACGTCTCATCCACACCAGTGGGAACATGCGCTCAGCGTCGTCCAGTGTCCTTACTTCCTGCTCCATTGGAGCCTTGATGTTATTACATCCGACGAAGAGCTGCTATTTCCGCAATCTTTATCCAGTGGATAACAAGCCACTGTACATGCATCTGAAGGGCCTTGCCCAAGATGCCATGGACCTCATTCGACCATACCACGCATGGCATGCAGCGACTTGAGCATCGCCCAGTGGTTTCCATGCCACTCCACGTTCATCCCGCGAGTCGTGCTCGGGACCCCTGTCCGATACACCTTCGGTGTTCACCAACTCGGATATCCCGATCTGCAGCACGTTGACCGTCCCGGTCCAGTGCCCGCGCCAATAGCGCTTCTGCTTCCAAGTAGAGGTGGGATCATGACTCATACAAAGCTCCAGCAGGAGGCGTGCGCGTAGCGCCCAAAGTCTTTGACCTTCAATCAATCCATGGCTCATGTTGTTATGACCATGCCATACCGAGGATGAGGTCATATCTTGAATCCAAATCTGAAAATTTGCAGCGTTCACGCTATCAAAATCAAGAAATCTGACACAGAGGTCCACAAGGACCCTAGGCACCGAGAAACAAGTCCCCGTCGCTAAGCGTATGGTGACGGTTTCACTCAACCTTCAGCGCCTCAGAATACAACTGACTTCCTTTCATCCTGGAGCATCGGCAGTAATTGTCCACGCCCCGAAGTCGATAAAAATCCTCCAAAGCTTTTCAAAGCCCTTCATGGTCGCTTCCACGACCAGCAAGCCCGGCATGCATACACGTTCCGTGTTCAGCTCTTTGGGGCTGGGCCCTGTTGCCCTCTACCCCTTTGAAGCTCAAAAGAACTAAGTTTTTCCCTATCAGGGTGCCCCGCGCCTGCTGGGTGTTTCGTTTCCCCGCAACATACCAGAAGACTGGTGTGAAGAGGGACGTCGGCTCGATTAACCTTGACGCGCCTTGCGCAGGGGACAACCAATCCGAAAGTGACGGGTGTCTTCACAAACAAACACTCGGAAAAGCTGCAATTTCAGCTGTGTCCAGGAGGGAAGCGCCGCTTTAACCGAAATACAGCACGTCAGTGCCCATTCTCGTGCTCGACCACCGAGCTCGGAGATAGCTAGCTTCATGCGCTGTTGGTCAGTCTGGATATGGCGGACGCCATACCCATCTCGGCCTCTCTTACCCAGAGCAGAAAATCATCTCCGTTTCTTTACTCGAAGGTCTCAACGCTCAACATGAGCGACCTGGGTCGGAAGGAGTTATTCGTCGTCGACGGTGGCGTCATAGACGCATTCGGCGCTGACAGCTTCTGCAGTTGCTCTAGCAGAGCATTTTTATAGTTCGAAAATGCCCTTTGACGCGCGCTAATCGCCTCAGGTCCTTGCAAAGCAAGGAGTTGCACACCCTCAGGGCCAAGCAGAGACATCAGCTTCTTAGGGCCAAGCAGAGACATCAGCTTCTTACACCCGTCCTGCATGCCCTAAGGCAAATAGGAGCAGAGAGAATCAGTCGTAGCTCAGGTGCTAAGCTAAGGTGACCGACCTTACATTCAATACTATAACCAGTATGAGTGTAGCGGATCGCAATCCGCTAACTCCAAGAGTACCCACAACCTTAACCCAAGATGAGAACACTTTTTTCATTTAAAATCCGAGCTGTATTGATCTGTTCTATTTGCGGCAAAGCCGCCTATATCTAAATCTTCAGGTCGTCCTAATCAACAGTAAAACCTAAAAATTATGCATGACCACTGGCAGTCCCGCCACGTGGTGGTTCTTGTTACGGTATAGCCACACCATTGTGTGATTACACCGTCTTGTGTAGTTCACACCTTCGAATGGTCACACCATCTTGTGTGAGCCACCCTTCTACACCAGGGTACGTGTAATTCCGTTACACTCCAAGGTGTGATCATAACAAGAGCAGATGCCCGACGTAATTAAGATGACATTTACTGAATCTTAAGTTTATCTATGATTCAATACATATTGTGTTTTAAGCTTGTTTTGCGTACCTCATGCTAATAAAAAGATTGTGGACAGTTATCCTCTGTATGCCTGGACCTGCTTTGATTTTGGATTGTAGAAACTATCCGGTCTCACATCCATATTAGAGGAGGCTCCTACGCTAGGTACTTAGCATACTGGCGCATAACTAGTACACACTTCACACAGTCGGTCGCTTTCGCATTTCTAAATCGTGTGGGTATGACCAGTTACTATAGGCACCAGGTGGAGTCGAACCACCGACCACTCGTTTGTGAAGCGAGCTGTTTACCACTACGCTATGGCACCATGAGGTGTAGCAATAATGTAACAGGGTTACACGTACCCTGGTAACAGGGGTGTGTGTCACACAAGATGTGCATGGTGTAGCTGCACCCAACCAAAGGAACGGTATGTGGCTAGGTAGCCAGTAGTTATGCATATCTAGATTTTACTATATATGTACTTAGTAGATCTAGGAAAATCTAAGCTTTTATAATTAGAAAAAAAGGTGAATAAAAATTAGTTTCGATTTTAAACAAAAGTGTTCATTTGCTTTGATTAAGGATTTAGGTACTATTAGATGCAGCGGATTGCGATCCGCTGCATTAGTACTTGGTCCTTGTAAAGAAGGAAAGGCCAGTGACCTCAAGACACTTACTCATGTGCAAAGCTACGGCAGCCCTGCTGCACTTGGTAGCACTTGTAGTCAATCTACAACTGAGTCGTTTAGACTGGTCCTCTGTGAGGATGAAGAAATTTCCTTTTTACCCCAGGGCATGCAGGACGGGCTTCATAAGCTGATTTCTTTGTTTGGCCCTCAGGGCGTGCGACAGCTTGTGGCACAAGACCCCGAGGCAATCGATGCGCGTCTAGAGGCGTTTTCGAGTTACGAGAACGTGCTGCTAGAGCACCTGCAGCAGAACATGTCTGCATCGTTTACGTCAATGACGCT